TGTCCAGCCAAATCCTGCTGAGAGTGAATAAATATTTCTCCTCTATTAGACCAAATATTTTCATTTGTCATCCAAATAGCTAGGGGTAAAAGATCTGAAAATATTTTTCTCCTATATGGACTCAAATATATTTGAAGGGTTCAGTGTGTTACCGGAGGTATTACTCCATACTCAGCACTGCTGAGGTTACATCTGGAGTACTGCACCGCACTTTGGTCACTATACTTCAAAAACTGGACAGATTTCTAAGGAAGGCAACCAAACAGTGGAAGGCATGACCTCTGTAGAAGGACTGCGAGAAGTGGGTTTGCTCAGTTTCAAAAAAAGAAAATTAAAAAACATTATTGAGAAATCTTCTAGTTTGTAAAAGACTGTAATAAAGATGAGCGCATACTGGCATTAGGACTAGTTATAATTCATCAAATATAAGATTGAACAAATTTATGTAAGAGAATTTGATCGGGACCTGTTAAGCTGACAGCCACCACCACTGGCTCAAGAAGTCCTTGAGCCACAAATTGTTGGGGAGTAGCCTGGGGAAATGCCACTACATCTCCCTTTTCTCATACTCTTCCCTCAGCATCTGCTATTAGTCCCTGTCACAGACAAGATCCCAGAGTAGCCTGACCCTCTACACTGACCAAGTGCCTTTCTCACACTCTGACCGCTTTTTCAGATGAGACAGTGTGAAAACCTGTTAATTCTAAAGAGTAATTAGCCCTGGGAACAAGCCACTTGCAGAGCAACAGCAGCTCTTCACTAAGTACATTGAAGAACAAGGGCAGTTTAGTACACTTGACCCCTTGTTTCTGTTAAAAAAAAAAAAAAGGAAAAAAAGGGATAGACTACAAGATTACAAAGTTCAGTGTGGGCCAACAACTCTATGCAGTCCACTATTTGGATGGGTTTTTACCAGCAAAGAAATTTATAAGACAGTTGCAAATTCTGTACTTCAGGTACACTTAAAATTTCCACTCCTGTACACAGTCGGGTCACACACAGATAGGTGTGCTCAGGACAAAGTCTGAAACCTCAGTAAAACTGGCTACTCTACCAGGTTTCATCTTGTATTTAGATAACTAAGTGCAAGACTCAGTGATGTCCAGTAATCCTCTCTCAGGAGTAGAACTGTCTCATTACTGCAACCAATAGCAGAAGCATTCACATTTGTGAATCTTGCTTATAGTTGACACAGGCACATTTGACTCCATTTGAAAGATCCTCAATTATCTGTAATTCTCAAAATTTGCTTCCATTACACCACTGTTTCATTTCTGTCGTGAAGACATCCACTTAAAAAAAAAGAGACAAGTAATCTTTTTATCACAGATCTTTGTCCATATTTAAGCCTTCACCTAGATCTTTAGCTGTAAAGTTAAGTGACATAAAACATGTAGTGTTAGATAGAAGCAAATATCGCCTTTGGAGCGCCTTCTGGGTAGATCAGGAGGAAAAGAAATTATTTAACCTTAAATAATTACTTGCTTCTTTACAACTTCACAGAGCTGCCAATTGGAAACGGAATAGGGAAAATGCATTTATTGTTAACTCTGCTCTTCGCAAAGAATTTTGGCCACTGATATCCTTTGGCATAACCCATTATTTAGTGTGGATTTCCTGATTAACATGTTTCAAAAAGTTACAAAGCTCTAAGAAGTAAATGTTCTGTTTTCACAAAAATCCCTATCTAGAGTAATGAGCCAAAGAACACAGGACAGCTCTCAGACCTCGACACGCTCAATATATTAACACAACTCTTTAGCGCTAACGCACATTTCAGTGTCTTCATATATGTTATTTTAAATGCAACAATAAATTACGATTGCCAAGAAATCTGTCAAGTTCTTGAAGGAATCTACAAGCATGTACACACAGTACTTTCAAATGATGTAATTATGAGGAAATCTGGATTATAAAAGACTATTTACATGTAGATGGAACCTGGTTATCAAATCAAGGGAACCCATGCTTTATGTGCTGTATACTGTTAGGCATATTTTTCTGCAGGGAGAATATTAAATAAATCAAAATAAATGACCTGATGGCTGTCCTATATAGATGTGATGAGAGGCAGGAAAAGCAAGTGAGCCCAGGTGCTCATCTGTGCAGCTTCTTAGACTGCATTAAGAAAGACCATGGAAATCAGTTAAATTGCTTGTAGAAAATCTATTTCTTCAAAGTAGGATCAGAACTTGCTCCAAAAAGTCGTCCTTTGATCATACCCATGTCTAATGTCAAGGCTGTAATTTCACACTATACCATCTTTGCCAATAATGTAAATGTGAGCAATCCTGAGTCTCCTGCCAGCAACACACTATGTGCTGATACAGCTGTTTGGAGGTAAATGCTGTAAACTGCATCACTGCAAGAAGAATGGTGAAAAATAACCCCTAAAAAGGGTGGATTTTTGACCCAAGTGGGCTCATGAGCTGGTTTACAACATGGCCACAAAAACCGGTGTTGACACAGCTGATGGGTGGAAATGTACAACTAATGATGGACGGAGTTTCTTAGGCCAGTTTCATCACCGAGACCAGCGTATTCTAAAACGAGGTCCCAAGTGAGCTGCCAAAGTAGATTCTCCAGGTCTTTTGCCAACGACAGCAGCAAAGGAATAAAGAGCTAGCAACTTTTATAAATGTGAGATCTGAAACCTATTTTAGCAGCAATGCAAAGCACTCAGACTTCATCCAAAACTGTGAGGACAGTGATAATCCGTATCCTAAATATGATCAATTTTCCAGATTGGTATCATAGCCATACACATTGTAAACTAAGATTTGGATCCCATGGGAAAAGTTCAGAAGTATCATTGCTGGGATACACAACATCAGATCATGAGATGCTGGTGGATGAGTTAATCGAAAAATATTAATACAACATACATTTAGGCAGTCAGAACAATTAGTAGGAACAAAAAATATCCGGGCACTTTGTGAACTCAAGGATCTCAAGTCAAGGATGAGGAAGACTTCTTTTTCAGAAGCATGGACAATGCTTCAAACACTATTTATCCAAAGCAGTTGTTCTAGATAAAAAAAAATTGCTTATCACAGAGATAATAAAACAGTGTTTCATCATCTTAACCTAGCCTTTACAAGTTACAGAAGAATATACTCTACCACTAAGAGGAGGCTTAGCTTCTGAATACACTACGAGAAGCATCTTTTTTTTCTTTTACAAGTTCCCCAAGACATCATCCATTCAGCTTCCAGTCACTTACACAAAATCAAGGGCACAGAACACAGTGTTACTCATTAATGAATGATGGCAGAACATTCTCTTCGCAAAATCTGTGTCTAAGGGAGAAAACAGGCATTATATTGTGAAAGAGCAGTGTAACTCACATACTCCCTTCCCTATGAATTGATATTTATCTCTTTCTGGTCTGTGAAAAAATCCACATATGTAACAGTGTTCATACAGAATCACTAGAAGAACAGAGGGAGGTTGAAAGAAAGCACTTGTTTTCTGACATATGGTCAAGAGTTCCACCCTAACCTGCTGACCTTCATTATATTCCCCACTTCCCTAGACAGCATCCCAGAAAAGATACTGCTCCGAGGCACTTGCATCTAACATACCCTTTATTCTACAGAATCAGCAAGAGGCAATAAGTACCCCAAGTAACTGGTGAGGTGTTTTGTGACTGGAAATCTATCCAGGTTCAAGTAGAGTATTCCATACAAAGAGGCAGCTCTCTCGCCGTCAGAGACAGGAGACCTTTGCTGCGTTTTGTGTCAGAGGGCAAAAGGAAGAGAAGGCAGTGAAACCGTAACCAGCTCCTCTGTGAGGTGAGCATCAGTTTGCTGCTCACCGTACCACCACCACAGAGAAAAAAACCTCATACCAAACATCCAGACTTCGGTGTCAACTAAGTTACAAGATACACCTTAGAAAATACACAATTCTTGTTCTGTCATGGATTCTTAATCACACAAGTTATAGCTGTGATCTAAGGAAAAATGAAAGAACATTAGGGAAAAGCAACTATGCTGTTTAAACAAAATGCTCTATGTTGTTAAGATAAGTACTCAGATAATTTTGCTTTAAGAAAATTACTTCAGGACATAACCAAAAATGTACAATCAATCATTATATCAAATCAAACATTATATTAAGGTTCAATTTACAAAAGGTTAACAAATAATTAATAGCTGTTTTAATAAATAGGTATTTACTTCTCATCTATTATCAATCCAACAGATAGCTTCTAACTGTCTATAGCACTTTCTACTGATGTGCTTATAACCCTCCCTAACATATACTACACATTTCTCTAACAGGAATTACAACATCTGGGAATCATTTATTAACCCTTCATAAAATTCTAAATAAACCTTAATATGAAGCATGACTAACTTTATACTATTTCAGCCCCATACCCCAGGACACATCAAATACTAGCTCTTTCAAGTTTTTATTTAAAATTCTACATTTTAGTTGGGAGCCACATCACTAGCCACAGAATCACAAATGCCTACGGTGGCGTAGCCAACACACTGCAGACACGAGAAATGAAAGGAAAGTGGTGGGGGAAGGTCACAGGGAACAGTTCAGGTTCTTCCAAAAGAAATGTCCTGGCTTTTTTGTTGGAACAAACATTGATACCATAACAGAATCAGAGCGCAAAAAAATGGAGTCTGTTGCAATTCAAGACATTGGTTTTCCTGCTTTTTAGAAAAAAAATGACCACAACACATTATAATATAAATAAATAAAACAGAAAACGCAAAGGTAAATTCCAAAACCCACCACTAGGATCTTAAAAAGGCAACAGCCAACTATTTCTTGGATGCAGCCTAAACTTCTCTTACCTGCAAATTCTTAATATACTTGGAAGTCCTATTTAGTGTAGCAGACTTAGGGAACAAGATGTATTATATTTACATCTCCTTTTTTTCCATCCAGTATTTTCATTTTCACCACCCCACCCCCCCACCTTAGGTTTTTTTCCATCAAATTGCCTGCTGTTGGTTGAACAAAGTTCAGCTCAGAACTTATACTTTTCCTTCACTTTCAGAGCCTCTATCTTCATTCTCACAGTCCCGAACAAGGTCTTCATGCTCCTCGGTCTTCTCTTCCTCCTCCTCCTCCTCTTCCTCCTCATCTCCAAAAGTCTCTTCTTGCATTGTAGTAAAAGTGAAAGACCTGGCAGCCACTTGTGCAGCCAGACCAGATGTGAAATTTAAATCTGTTGATATGCGGAGCTGGGCCAGCCTATGCTTGATTTTTGAATGTAATACATCCTTAGAGGGAGACTGTGAAACCTCTACTCCATCCATATCGCTCGGCTTGAGTTCTTCAACTTCCCCTTCATGCTGATAACACATTCTTTCTTCAGCCCCTGTAGAAATACCTTCATCAGTAGTACTGTCTTTGTTTTTCTCCATCTCAGGATCTTCATAGAAATATTCTGTCCTGCTTTTATCAGCAGCATTCACTTTTGGATTAGAGTCTTTTCCTTCCGATTTATCACAACTTTGGCTGCAGTCCTGCTTTTCTGTATCTGAATTCATATGTGATTCCAAATTTTTTAGTAGCTTCAGCGGTTCTACAGGAGACAAGGGTTTCACTGCAGCTTAAAAAGGGGGAAAAAAAATAAATGATAACTAAAAGCAAGCTGCTATATATAAGTAATTTATTTGTGTCTGAAAAGATGCAAGATTGTAAGGGTCAAAACAGCTTAAAAAAGAACCCCAAAACAACAGAAACAAAAACCGCAATCAAACAAAACTTAAAATAAAACAGTGTTTTCTAATCACAAAGCTGAAGCGAAATGTGATAACTATTTGGTGTAACTACTCCTTAAAATCTGTGACGTAGAGACAGCACAAAATTGATGATGTTTAAAATCAACACAAATGATGCATTCAATGTTAAAGTAAAAACCAAGGAAAGCTACTGCACTGTATACAGATTTGAACTGTCTTCGTTTTAAACAACAGTTTAGCAAATCCAATAAAGACAGCTGTTACACAAAAAAGTCCTTATAGGCAATATCCGATCTCATACATCACAACATATAAATACAACACATATTCATACAGTCAGGTAAGGTGTCCTCACAAATAAAGTGTGGTTTAATTTAGCCTCTCTTGAAGTTAGTAGCAGCAGCGAGTCCCATTGCCAGCAACGGGATGCTTGCCAGGAAGTCTCTCCTCCCAGTGTTAAGGGTTAGTATAACTCGGTACAATCACTTCTTGAAGAACAGACGTCTTTCTTTTTAAGAAAACGATATAATGTCCATTTCCAAGTAACAGATTCCCTAAACTGCAGTAGCTCCATTAGAGTAGCAGCACGAACATAAATGAGAGCGGCAACAGCAGATTCCCAAGTGGCATTTCCCTTTCTAATTCCATTCTGACTTTACCCCTGTAAGCAGAGATGAAAATAACTCTGGGAAATACACAAACTTTTCACGGGAAACAAAATTTACGGTATTAGGATTTTTCCATTGCATCCTATTTCAGTAATATTTACTTTAGCTAGCTGAAGGCAAGCGCATCGTTATGGTTATCACATTGATAATTACTATCATTAGCACACTGAAAGACTGTGGTTTCAAATTTGTATTGTATTGTTTGTTTTAAAACCTTATATACCGAAGGAGCACTGCATCAGACTCATCTCAATTGTTAACGGGGTAGTTCATTCCTCATCTTGTAAAAAACATGCTGCTGCTTACTTCTGCCCATCAGCTTGAGGAGGCAGGAATAGGCACAGTAATCTTATCATTTGGGAACAAACTTGTTGCCTACTTCCTCCAACGAATACTTCCAAAGCCAAAATTTCACGAAAAAGGAATAGGTAGTTCAGATTGGTAGCTGGCCAATTTCTGAGTTGATTAGTTAATAAGCTCAATCTTCATCAATTCTCAGAGTGTAGTTTTCCAAAACTGAGAAACAACTGTATAAGAAGTGTTGTACGGACAAGGTGGGAGAAGGGGAAACAGCTGGGTACAACACAACCACTGACAGAATGAACTTTTTGGGGGGGAGAGGTTAGGGGAAAGGCTAGAAGGGATTTTGCACCAGAAGAAAGCTGTTTTACAATGTTTGACAAATGAAAATGAAGCCACTAACAACTTCACGGACCTCCTCAAAAACACTTCCATTTTATTGGCCGCCAAAGGACCAAAAATATAAGGACACCTACACTCCCATAAATTACCTACTGCCCAGACTGTAAGCAGTATTACCATGGTGCTGGGCCTGGGCAAATTTGCTTTGATCTGGTGCCCTGCTAAGATGATGTTTTTCTTCTGGAACCCAACCTGTCATCTCCAGTTGACTTCATGCTGTGTTCTCTAGACATACCAACTTGTTTGGAGCTGACCTCTTTTATGTGGAAACCCTCACCAGCCCCTCCTTCAACAAACAAAAATCCCTAACAAATCAGAATGAGTTGCTGGGTGCCTTGACTAACAGATTAAAGCCTTTGAATATTTCAGGATCTTTTTTCACTATAATCACAAGTTAGGAGAACACAGGATTTCTGCAATGCAATCGTCCTGTAAAAGCAAGATTTAAGAGGGGCATGGAAAAGTGTGATATCACAGCCATCCATTGGCTTGGGTCAATGGATACAAGAATACGAACCTTTCTGAGTTTAAATCTTCAAGATAAAGCAAGCCACGAATGTGGAAAGCACAGCTCATAAAAATGTTTCTTCATGGAATGACTCGTGCGCATGGATAAATTAAAGTGTGCAGCTGTAACATGCCAGGGTCTATTACGTCATATTTAACTGTCTTTTGTTTCTTTTGAAGAAATAATGAAGAAATTCCTTAAAAACCAGTAGAATACATTATGTCTGCTGTCCATATCAGTCTTTCAGATTAGACACATGCAGTCTCTGAGCCCAAAGGTGAAAATATTGATTACTTTCATGAACCACCCTCATGTTTTCCAGTTTTGTACAGGATGGAAGCAATCAATGATTAGTCCTAAGCAGCTGGAGGAAATAAAACTTTTCTCCCTCCCCAGTAATGAATCTCTAGTCCTAAACCAACGTAATATCTATAGATGGAAAGGAATTAACATGAGCCACAAAGGCTTTCAGGTGAACAGTTATTGAAGACTACAGGAGTCGGCTGACTCTTTCCAGCTATGGCCACAAATGGCCTGGGGATTTACTGATGTGGAAAGGTATCAGTTGCTAACCTAGATAAGGAAATATCCTATGCAAGTGCTCCTGACAAGAACCCTTTCTGCAGAAGTCACTAGATCCACCAAGGCTTGAACTGGAGGTAGGATTCCTTCCTTCTCCCTTCAACACAGAGGAAAGGAAGACTTGAAGAGATTTATGTGAAGAGTTGTGTGGTGTCACACCTAATGATAATTAGATAATCACACCAGAATGATAATACAGAAATTCTACTCTTGAGCAGGCTCTGATGCAATCTGATGTTTTAGGTTTTTTTTAACTCAACTAGCAGAGAAGTCAATACCAATGGCCACGTGATTTCTTTTACCATAGTTGTAGCTAAAGGGACATAAAGAAGAAAGTTGTGAAGAACAGATGTTTTTGTGGATTTTATGTCAAAAGAAACAGTCTCATAAATAGGTATGGTCTGTCACTGTGTGTTCTCACTAAATCACTGAAAGACCCGATCCGTGGTCTTTTTTTCTGGTAGACGCTGGCAGAGGCAGAATCCTTGGATATGTCACCAGACTTGAGGGTTGTTTTTCATAACATAGAACATGAATTTTTTAGGGAGCTTTTCCTAACCTGTTTTTAAGAGGAAGGAATGCAAATGAGAAAAAGAAGGGAAAAGGGAAAAGACAAACTACTGCCAATTTCAAGGACAAAAAAATCAAACAGCCCAAGCAGTGAAAAGAATGTAGTTGCATCCAGTCTTATTGCTGGAACAGAGACAGACTGTCCTGTTGAGGCAAGAGAAATTTTCATATTCCTGCCTTCAAGTGCAAGTGGATGGAGCTACCCAGCAGTCCTCAGAGTTACTAAAGGCTAGTTTGGAAGAACTCTTCTTGTTAGGTTTTTGGTTTGTTTTTGTTTTTGTAAACATATTCTGTATACTCACTCTCTCATGGAAACAAAAGCCAGTCTTACTCTTCTATGAGCCTTTAATATTTCAAAGTCTAGCTCTTCACTTTAACCTCTATTTTTTTGTAAGTCTGCGATAATTTCTGATGGTTTCTTTAAATTCTGAAAAGTAATTTATTTATGCACCCTGATTAAAATTCATATTTACTGGAAAGCCATGAAAGAAAAGTCAGTTCAGTTTGCATGGTTTATAGCCTGACAGTTCTCTTTATGCTTTCTTAATATTTTGTGTTTAATATTTTAGTTCAGTATTGTGTTTAGAGCCAAATTCCCATTTCTCTGAGCTCTTTTCAATATATAGTAAAATGACCGCTACAACTAATACAAAGAGATGGAATAGCAAGCTAAGGCCACACAGCTCTATCAAAGGCACTACTACAGCTAAGGACTGTCCAAATTCTAACATAATCAGAAGCTGATGGCAAAGAGACACCTACTCTTTCTTAGAAAGGAATTAATTTTCAAAAGCAGCGCTTACCATGGTCACTGAATAGCAGCTGTTTCCATTTCTGTCTTTCTATTTCTGAAGCTTTAAATCCCAGTACAGATTTCAATTCTTGTAACACCCTCTTAGATTCTTGTCTCTCTCGTTCTTGTCTCTCTCTTTCTTCCTGGGAGAAGTAGTAAAAATCTTCCCTTTTGTATTCATTCTCCGTATCTGAATAATCAACATATGCTTCCAATTCCTAAAGAAAGAAAGAAAGAAAAAAAAATGTTGATCTTCACTGTCAGTGTAGACCCTGTCCTACAATCTGATGCATGATCAAGTGATCTCAACACAAGCCAACCACAGTAAAAGGATGGAGACTTGTTTGAGCACAGCCAGTGGGTCTGACACTGGTCTTAGTTATATTTGTATAATTTTGGAGCAAGTCCACTCATTGACAGTTAACATTACTGCAACCACCTAAGATTTACTTTCATACACAAGTATGATCAAGTGATATACCTTGAAAATGGGAGTCCACTTCCTAATAATTACGTGTGGAAATAAGCAATGCTGATGCTGGATTCTTTTTTTTTTTTTTTTAATTTACACCTTAAACATTTCTTCCTCAGTCAGACACCTTGCTAATTTAACTTATGTAAATCCTTATTAAGAGGATGTTGAGAATAGCAAACTCCTACTCCTATTATCTTGCAATGAAAAAACAGAGCTCCATTTATGTCAGCCAGTAAAGTTATTCGTCCCAGCTCTTTGATATGGAAAAAAGACTAGAAAGAAAGCATGTTGGGTAGGCTTGGGAGAAGGCAATGGAGGGACAGAGCAGAGTATGGGTGTTCAATCTGCTTTCAGAACGCATCTGTCACTCAGTTCTGGGATGAAGGAGGCCAATCTTCAAGACAGCCCAACCATCACACAGGAGTTTCCCAAACAACACAAAACTGTTCAGTGCCACAGCCTATTTTAGGTATTCAAAAATGCAGAGATTACTCAAACTGAATACCACCTGGTTTGTTCTGGGGCTTGTTCGTTTTGTGGCTGTGACAGTTCATCTAACAGTATGCAAGCAGGACTCTGTTTTATATACCACCTTTTAGCGAGCTACTCTTTTTTTTCTATATTACTCTGACTTGTGTTGCTGCTCTTCTTTTGTCACTTATTTCTAATGATATACATGAGAAGAAGTGAATGCTAGTGCTCTTTTTTTCCAGGATGGGAAGTACCTCCCCATGGAACAGCAAAAGGAATATACATCCTTATTTTTTTTATAAGTCCAATTATGAAATGGCACTTGCTACCTGCTTGATCTGCCTTGGCAAGACAAGAAAGTCATTGCACAAGCAACTGAAAAAGGAACGGATACAGCAAACAAGCCCCAATTATTATTTTAAATGGTACTATTTTCTTTTTACCTGCTCTTCAGGGATTGGATCTTTGTTTTCTATGTATATGGCAGGCTGTGTTAAAGGTACTGTAGTACTCTGTAGGTTGTCACAGGAAACTTCAAGATTGCCTTTAAGGGGAAAGAAGAAAATGGATTAAAAAAAAAGAAAAAGACTGAGTGTTGAAGGATGGTTTTGACTCACTCAGGCAGGATCTGGGCATTTTCATTAGGCAGAATTGGCATACATGAAAAAAATGGTGAGTTGCCTGGTTAGAATACATTGAAACACTGTGTTAGAGGGCACTTAAATTACTTAGCTGTTTTGATATAAGCTGGGTCTGATGAAACTTATCTTGAAATACTTCAACTAACAAATCTCAACATTTTTATAGACTGAAAACCTGCAGATGGCAAGAAAAATTGTTAAAACCAGAAAAGAGACTTTGTGCCCAAGTTTGAAAAGAGAAGTAAAACAATAAAATTACAGGCAAATCAGCTTCAAATCATTGGAAAATACTGGAGAAATACTCAAGCAAAATTTACAGAGAGCTATCTGGAAGGTAGCAAGGAGATGAGCGACAGCCAGTGTGGGTTTGTTGAGAACAGAAGATGTCAAATCACTCTAAGTTCATTTTCCAATGCAGTAACAGGTCTTATGACTAGAAAAAAGCCAAAGACATCCCGCATTTTGTTTTCAGTTTGGTTTTTGACACAGTGTCATGACATACTCATAAGCAAAATGCATAGACCAGGAGAAGTTGCTATTAGGTGCATAGAACAGTCTCTTGGACAATCAGAGTGGAGTTACCATTTTCAGACAGGAACAATATATCGAGGGAGGATTTGTCTCGAGTCCAATACTCTTAAATATTTCCAATGGGTGAAAGAAAAGTGCTTCAGCTCATTAAATCTGCTGACATTGGGATAATCAGCAAGGATACTGAAGGGCACAATTAGAATCGAAAATAATACCAGAAAATCAGGGATAGAGCTCAGGAAGAAGTGGATTTCAGATACAGCAGCTTGGTGACAGTGGCTACAAATTTGTGTGCTTTGGACTAGTCAAATGCACAAATAAATGACAACTGACTGAACAGCACCACTGAGAAAAAGATGTGAGGAGCCTAGTAGTCAACTATACCCTGCTGCAAGCAAAAAGCCACACTACATACTAGTACATATAAACAACAGCACTGACTGTTAGACACATGAAATTACATTTCTCCTCCGGCACCAGTCAAGCTGTGGATGGAACATAGTGCCCAGTCTGGGCCTCCTTCATTCAATAATATTGTGGACCTGCTAGAGGGAGTCTGGAGGAAAACAGTGGAAATGATTAGAGGACTAAATAAAGTATAGTCGTCAGGGTAGAGTTGAAGGATACAGAGTCATGTAGAGAAGACGGAAAGAAACTTATTAACACTCTTCAAAAATGTAAGAGCTATAAAGAGGAAATGGATTTCCATTGTGGGTGGATCAAAAGTACCGCTTTTAAATTGCAGCAAGAGATATTTATATTTAGTAGTAACTTTCTACTGGTAACAAAGTTAAGTGCTGGAATAGATGCCTGGAAATACTGTAAAATGTCTCTGAAGAGAGGTTTTTAGGAACAGGTAAACAACATTTGCTCCCAAGCACCAGTTTACCTTTGAGAAGGGCAATGGGCTAGACGACCTCGCCAAGCCCCACCTATCCTATTTTCAATTTCCAATCTATACATTGAATACTTCGAGATGGTATTCTGAAAGCAGGCAGTTCACATTAATGACAATCTTATGGTGCTCAGTTACCTGCTTTTGCAAACAAGGAAAGTATGTTGCCTGGGCTGAGCTAAAGATTCGACATTCCAGAACTATCTAAATGCAAAGTTTAAAAGAAAGACGAGGCATGTAGTGAAATTTGAAGTGGAAAATTGACATGAGACATTTATTTTGTAGGTATCAAGCCCCCTTGTCCACTACATAACTCTGCCTTGTAATAAAAACATTTTAATACTAATGACAGCAAGAATAGAAAATGCTCCTGAAGGTATGAAGACAAATTTGGAAGCCTATATGTAAGTTACCAATTAAAAGCTTGCCTTCCCAACTTAGAGGAGTAAACCAGCTGCTCTAATATGTACAGACTGTTCTGCCACCTACATGGGATGATACGATTGCTAAGGATACGGTTCAAGATCATGACTTCACAGTGTTTAACTAAAACTGCTGCTGCAGTGGATCAAAGGACTACAAGATCCAGGAGCCTACAGCAGAGTACTATATGGTCTTGCTCTTATAAATATCTAAAAATGTTGTATACGTTTGCAAAGTCAGAGACAGTTTAAAAGGAAAAACGATGGAATTTAAACAGTTTGAGGGATATTGTTTCAAAGATCATTAAAACAACATTGTAACTAGCCATAAAGGGTGTTCCATTCTGTAATATTAGCAGCAGATTACTACATGCTTAAATTGTTGAGGCCTTAAGTGCTAAGTCAGTTTTATCAGTGATAAAAAGTGAAAGAATAAAGAGAAGATGGATGAAAGTCTAGAATCAACTCATGTTGGAGATGAGCAAAGATCTGCACGTAGATCAATGACTGGCAAGTCTATAATTTCCCAATGAATTTAAGTGGAAGTGAATTCCCCTCAAGGTGGTAAAGCCCCACTTCTCCCATGCTGTATTCTGTATCTGAAAGGATCGGTGACTAACAGCACTGGTTTTAGAAATACACCAAGTCCTGTAAACAAAGAAGCCAAACGGCATTCCCTAAAGTAACCGTATACTATAATATCTGCTAGTATCACCACCCATGAAAGGCTGATGGGAGTGTATGAATGTTCAATCAGTTGGACTTAAAGGCTTTGCTTTGACAGAGTTTGACATAATGAATTATTTAACGCAGCTGTAAGAAACCTGCTTTGACACAGGATGATTTAGGGCAAGAAGCATGCAGTGCTTGCTGAAGAAGACTCATCTGTTTATACAGAAAATAATTAAAGATACGCAAAACTGCCCTGAAAATAAGTGATAGGCAGCTACGTAGGATGCCACAACTAGGATAGCCCACAGTTCAAAACAGCTCTTTAGTGGCTGGAAACTTTCAACTCCTGGTTCAATGGCAGCACTCCAATGCTGAACGGACCAATGAGTTCCCAGTTTCTTCCTCTCTGCAGAGCAATGCGGGCCCTTTGCTGCTGCAACTGCTGAGCTGACTTCTGCTTCTCATGGAAGAAAACCTTTACGTGCTGAGAGCAGGAGGAACCAAGAAGGACAAGCAAAGATACATTTTTGCTCAGTATATAAACATGGCAAGAGCAAAACCTAAGCAAACAGTAAATTTAAATACTGGATACATTTTGTATTTATAGATGAAGAAGCAAAAAGACTTATTTTGTTTAAATACTAAGCATAATTATGAGATACTGCTAAAAATATTTAACAAATATATACAGCTTTTATGTAATGAAATATTTCTTCTCAAAACGGGGTCTAAGCCATCAGAAACAGCTCCCTGTTTAACAGTGTTCATAACTGACATTGAAAATGGTATTCCCACTGCTCTACTGGTTGATGTAGTTAGTTGAACTAAACATCTATTGCAGCAAAAGTGCTGGGTGTCCACTTAGATACAATGTTCTACTACCACGGGGTTCTCACTACAACTTCTGTAAAAAGATGCATTTGGTTTTGGATAATAGTGCAGAAAGACAAAAGAAAGATGTGCTTAGCTG